AAAAAAGCAGAACGAACCTTTGACGAGCAGTGTTGGAAGCCAAGGAGACTAGCTGACAACTCAACGGTCTGGACGCACGATTGGTCTCGGCCACTACTGTCCTGTGCAAACTGAACTGAACTGAACTGAACTGACCTGACCTGACCTGAGAAATAAAGTATCTCTTTCTCTCTGTTTGCAGATAGAAGGAGAAACCGATCAATCGCAGAGGTGGGAACACCCTCGAGGGCATACCACCGAAGGAATTCTGGACGCGTGATTGGCCTATGGCCACTACCAGTCCTGTTCAACCTGACCTGACCTGAACCGTCGCGCTGTTATCAAAAGTTTCCAGCACATGACCTTGAGCGTGCTTCTCCGTGTGTCATTCCTCCCCGGTAATACTTGAAACCGAAAAACATGACTGATGTTGCAGCAAGTGTTCCCGAAACTGAAGCTCCACAAGTAGCAGCAGAGGGGCCTTCAAAAGCTGCTAAAAAGAAAGATAAGAAAAAACCCGCCAAAAAAGAAGTAAAACCGACAAAAGATGAAGTTAAGGAAAAAAAAGTTTCAAAGCAGTTAGCAAGAATTAAGGAGGAGGTTGCTCGACGTCGCGAAGAAGAAGAACGTCTGAAAAGAGAGGAGGAAGAACGAGAACGCCTTCTAGAAGAGGAGAGGAAACGTCAAGAGGAGATCGCAGCGAAGGAACGCGAACAACGTGAGCGAAGAAAACAAAAAGAAAAAGAAAAAAGACAGCGTCTGAAAGAGGAAGGAAAATTACTTTCTGATAAACAAAAGGAGGATCGACGGAAAGTGCTAGAATTACTACAATCGCGCGGGATTGAGATACCTGACGAGAAAGGTGAACCAGTGGCAAAAAAGCCACAATATACCAAACTTAAAAAACGTGGACCACAAAATAAACAGAGTGGTGAAGATAACCAGCCTCCTCCTCCAGACCTTGGATCACCAAATGAACCAAAGGATGAAGGAGAAGCTCTACTAAATTGGGAAGCAATGGCTGACGAACTTTTGGAGGGCAATGAACGAGACTGGTCTGAATCGGAAAGCACCTCGAGAGCCACTGAAGCTGCACAGTCAACACATAGGCCGGAAAATTCCGAGGCTTTCAGTCACAGCGATGTGATATTAACAGAGGAAGATAAGGAACGCCTAATTGAGGCTGCCAGAAAACGCATTCAGGTATTGTTTTTCTCTTTGTTTAACTCTGTCTCAGGAACGGCACCTGGAGTGTGAAGCTAACAGGAAGGAAACGAATCTCAGGGCTGGAGTTATATGTGTTTTAGGTCACGTTGATACTGGGAAGACAAAAATTCTAGACAAATTGAGGAATACCAATGTTCAAGACCGTGAAGCGGGAGGTATTACACAACAGATAGGAGCCACCAATGTTCCTCAGCAAAATATCTTCACAGCAACGAAGATGTGCCCATATTTCAAGGCACCCGAACTACTAGTTCCCGGGTTGTTGATAATTGACACTCCTGGGCATGAATCGTTCACGTAGGTTTATGATTTGCAATTTATTTCTTGTTGAAAGAAATTTGCGGGTCCGAGGATCTTCGCTTTGTGATTTAGCTATCCTGGTCGTTGACCTAATGCATGGACTTGAAGAGCAAACAAAAGAATCGATCCGAATTCTGCGGTCGCGCAAAACACCGTTTATTGTTGCTTTGAACAAAATTGATCGTCTATATGGATGGAAATCCAATCCATCGGTTGACGTAAAAACAACACTCGAAGGGCAGGACCAAATGACTTTGAACGATTTTGATGATCATTTCAAAAAAGTAAGTTGATTTTGCTATTTCCCGATAATTCGCGAAAAGACTTACACGAGTGGGCCGTACAGTGCCGATTACTGGCATCCAATTGATTAGATTTTGTTGCATTTTAGGTCTTGTGAAATATCAAATATTACAACCGTTTCACAGGGACCCTGAAGTGGTTGGATTTTCCTAGCTTGAAATAGTAGTATACAAACTTACTCACTAATAATGTCTTGTTAAATGTGGATCACTGTTTGCCGTATTTAATCTTGGAGATCCATCGTAGAACGAGAGTGCCTACAGGCTCGTCATTAATAGAATACAAAGAAGCTACGCGCCGTATATGCCTCGCCATCACTAACACAAGCACCCGCGAAGTGCACATCGAGAAACCCTTCTCACAATGCTGTACAACCTCCGGAAGTGGGTTTCACAAAGTGATCAATCTCAAAGAACGACTAATTGAAGTGTTGGTGGTTGGGTAACACTAGTTGCAGTCATGTGGAGACTCAGCACATACCTCCAGTCGCCCATAAACAAATCGAATTCCTGTGGGGTTTCTTGTAGCTGATCAGAGGAAAGTCACACTTGAGGCCGATCTTCGTCGCTCACGGAGTCCTGTGAATAACCTTGACATTTCAGTGTACTGATTCCAACTTCATTCCTTCGGTAAATTAAGTGAGTTTACAGCGGCTAAGCTATCATCAGCGTGTTCGCGTAAAATTTGTAAGTCCTGTTATACCCATCGATCGTCAGCAACTATCACAGCGACGGTTGGGGCATCATTGTCATACCAAAAGTGTACGTTAAAACAAACAAACAAATTGTTATTCTCGTTGTTCAGCTCAACTGTCTGATCCGCTTTTGCTCTGCTATGAATCCCAACCCCCCCATGTTGTTGAGTTTATATATATATATATATATATAATGTTGGATCAAATAGGATGTGTAGTGCATTCGTTCTTTAAATTTTCTGGTGCTTCCGTGCAAGATATCCGTCCAGGATAGTGAATCACTCAGGAGTACATAGTTCTAATGGAACAAAAGCGAAAAATTCCCGCCTGTCAGAATCAACGCATGGACAGGTCGTGTCTGCAACGTCCTCTCAGGAAAGGCGCAGTAGTTTAGTCGCTGTCATCAGCGTGCTTTGGACCCTGTGGTCTGAGGTTCGAGCCCCACCACCTGACTTTGGTGATAGGCAACTTTGCTGTCGTCGGGTTCAATACTTATCGGGGCCTTATCTGGTTCGCCACACCAAACCCAAGAGCAACAGGACTTCGTGACTATGGGGTTCGCCCCGTCTGCTGTTCACCACATAAGTATGTGTAATAAAAAGGCACTGAGAAAGATCATGAAAACTGGCAAGCCAGGATAGTAAAATAGAAGCACCCGCTGCCTCATTGAGGGTTCAAAGACTGTTTCATGTGATACCATACTGGAGTTTGTCGTTAATCATTAATGAGGGAATCTGCGATAAATGTGCTAGGGCATCCAAAAAAACGGAACAGCTGTTTGATCGCTGGACCATCAGCAGCAGCAGCAAACAGCGAGATACAGTGAAGCGAACTTCACTGATCGCTGCCAAGCTCAAAATGTACACAAATTAAGCGATAAATCACAAGATGGAGAGGGATTGGGCCTAATTGGAGAGAAGCAAAGAAAGCGAACCTCCATGGTCAACATACAGAATACACAGTCTAAGTGTGCATACACCTTTTCAAGTATTCTAACTAGATAAAAAATGACAGCAAGAACGGCACTGCTGTCGGTTAGTCGCCATATCCTACAGTGTCTCCAACCAACCAGTTGCGGAGTCTTTTAACCCCAACCTGGAAGACGGGAGACACCGATTCTACCTAATCGCTCTGTGCATTTCTTCAAGCCTGGTTTCCACATCATCCATAGACCTCCACATTGTTTCTTCCAACCTGGCGCGACTGCGCTGGATGGAGTATTTTGATGAGCAATGTAACTAACCTGGTCCTTGTGGCGGTAACATTTCACCCTCATGTAAAACGAAAATTACGGTTCTGTATTCAGTGAGTGAATACAGAGCAGAAAACTGGGATTCTTTCCTTTTTTCACAATGAAGGGAAGGTGAATCACTGTTTCGGTCACTTTTAATACACGGCATTTAGTTAAAAGGGTCTATCCCTTTATACTAGATCAAATAGTTAACTGTTCCTACTTTTTGCGCAGAGTGGACACAAAATTTTGGGATAAGCTTTGTTCTTTCAGCGAACGACTGTCAATATTCAACGCTCGAAGTCGATTTTCGGTTTCAGTTTGTACAACCATAGACCATGCACTTTGCTGCTCCGGTTTTGGTTGCTGTCTTTTGACTGCCCATTTGGATGAAGCAGTAGGAGAAAGACGGCAAAGTTGAAAATAAAGTCGAAGAGAAATTGAAGAATTTCAGTAGACTAAGGTTGCAAAGAAATCGGGAAGGTGCACGAACACTGGTGTTTACGACACCCAGCCATATCTTTCGGTATCTCTAACCACTGGTTTACACGATCTCGAGGTCCCTATCCAGGGACTTGAATGAACGAGTCCCCTGGTTAGGGTTTTCATACCCTCATGCCAGGTCTTATTTTGACCACCCTTGACATTTTCCCACCCACCACCTGCCTCAGTAAACATCGCGCCGTGGCAACCAATTTGGTGACATGCGTAACACATACCTCAACCGACGTAATCTACGGAAATTAACCACTTGCTCCAGTGGGCAGCCGCGATTACCCAAAACCCTGCACCTTGCTTCAGCATTGCTCGTCCCGTTGTCCCAACAGATTCGTTCAATGATGCGCAGACAACGGTGTTCAAACACCGACGGTCTACTCTTACCCTGCTTTCTTAATGGCCAAGTTTCTGCGCCATATAGTAGAACTGGCCGAACTGCTGCGGCATACTTTCGACCCTTTACGAACAGCCGAATGTCGTGACGGTGCCACAGATATCTCAAGTTATCAAATACCAACCGAGCCTTCTGTATGCGAGCTGACACTTCATTCGTGATAAGTCCACCGGGTGAGATATGGCTGCCAAAATAACAAACTTACCCAGTTAGTGAGGCTGGGTGCTGGACCGGCCCAGTCTTGTGGCAAGGCAAAGACGAATCTTTACATTTTTCACTCCTAGCGATGCTCCGAAGAAATCGGTGGTGGAATAAAGAATGTCTACTAACATCCTCGGCGTGGAAAGATCGGGTCTGACATCCGTAAAGTAAAATACTAACCGTGTTTGATGTGAACCCGTCCCCTGTTTAGTTCAGTTCAGTTTGTGCAACCATTAGTCATGCACTTTCCTGTGGCGGTTTAGGTTGCTGTGTTTTCTTCTGCCCAGATAGGTAAAGAAATAGAAGAAAGGTAGGAATGTTAAAAATAATGGAAGAGAAAATGGAGAATTTCAGGCGACTAAGATTACAAAGAAATTGAGTTGTATGAACACCAATGTTTATGACAGTCAGCCGTCACTTAGTGTCCCTAGCTGTTGATTACAATGATCCCGGGGCCCACATCCAGGGGGTTTAACGCAACCTAAATCACTGAGCCTCTTGGTCAGTTTTTCTTACCCTCGTGTCGTGTTTTAGTTTGACCACCCTCAGCCTTTTCCATCCACTACCTGCGTTGGCAAGCGCGCCGTGGCAATGTATTTGATGACATGCTTAATACGTCCCAACAAGCACAATCTATGGAGTTCAACCACTTGCTCCAGTGAGTGACCGCGATTACCTAAAACAGCCTTTTTTCGGAATTACTCGTCCTCCCTTGACTGGAAGTTGGATGTAATGGCAGCTCCACAGTTGTCAGGCTAACAAACGGTACTTTAATATCGCTTTCCGTGATTTGATATAACACTTCCGGCTTCAGTCAAGCTTCTGAAGTACTTCAAGCTTTCAGCTTACTCTCGCTGAACACCACGGACGTTGGGTGTAGTCAATGTCAGCCTTTTATTATGTATACTGTGCACTTAGATGTTGCGAAGCAGATGCAATGTCTGGATACACCAATCGATTTCAAACGTGTTGAACTACCCGTGCCTTTTTATTTAGCAAGACGGTGTAACCTGATTTTGAGGTCAAAACTGTGTTGCACCACCTGCGGAAAATGACGGACGCTGATAACTTCTACGCTCTTGGGATTAGGCACAGGCCCCTGTGGTTGACTCGGTCAGTACGTAGACCCCTATTGAAGATGGGGAAGATGTGTGTTCCAAACGTTGAAGAACGTGCGGTTCACTAAAAGGCATAGTTGTGTCTAAGGCTATAAGATGCCGTGTATACTTTACTGGAACTCATGTGGGCAAGTCCTCACACCCCGTCAAAAGACAGCCTCTTCACGATGGCATGCTACGTGCTACTATATTCAACTCATTATAGTATAAAATGGGTGTGGCTATCACTTTTTCACCGATTATTTTTCATTTTGAAACTATCGTATATTCAGTTTCCCTTTCCATTTACTTCAGGTCGTCCAAGACTTTGCGCTTATGGAACTAAATGTAGAGTTGTTCTACAGGAATACAAATCCTGACGAGTATATTAACATGGTTCCCACCTCCGCTCATTCTGGTGATGGCATGGGTGATTTACTCGCCAATCTCTGTCTCCATCTACAGAACCGGTTGAGCAAACGCTTAGCCTTCTCAGAAGAACTGAATGCTTCTGTTATGGAGGTAACTTCATGGTTATTTTTTTGGAATCAAGTTGATATATATATATATGTGTGTGTGTGTTGGTTCACGTTTTTGAGTACCGTATACTACCACGTCGAATCGTATCACAAACTCAGATGAGTATACGAAGTATTTCACCGCGATTAGTACAGTGAGCTGTATTACAGTGCTCATTGTTAATGTGAAACTATTTTAACCTTTCAGTGTCATAATCATCATTACTTACAAAGTCAAATAGGTCGTGGAAGTTACGTTATCGTATTATAGACGGGTCCTGAGCTAATTTAGATCAGTCATATTTGTTGACATTTTGAAGCTTTTTACTTTTTTGGCTATTAGCTTCTTTTTCAGAAATACTGATCTTAGGTAATAGAAAGATTCGCTTCACTCGCGATCGCTGATAGGATTTGTCTTTTGGGGATTAAGGTACCTAGCCTCTTGATTAGAGAGGTAAATAGATTACTTAATCTAGGAGAGACCGATTTGGCTAAATCTGACTTGAATTATCTTCCCTTTTTGTTGTAGGTAAAAGAATTGCATGGGTTGGGGACTACGATTGATGTAATTGTTGTCAACGGTCGTATTCGAGAAGGGGATACCATTGTTCTGGCCGGACAAGAAGGGCCACTTGCTACTCAAGTTCGTGGATTGCTACAGCCTGCCCCAATGGCAGAGCTACGCGTGAAAGGTTCCTACCAGCACCTGAAAGAGATTCAAGGCGCTCAAGGTGTTAAATTGATTGCCAAGGATTTGGAGAAAGCTCTCGCCGGTCTTCCGCTTTACGTGGCCTCGGACCTCGGTGAAGAACTATACTTCAAAGTAAGTGCACCAATTATCCCTTTTCAGCCCCAGTTTATCTGTACGCTGTTTGACTGGATTACGTTCTCTGTGAATCATAGGATTTTCACGGGGTATACTGTGACCATGTCCTGCTACACTTCCAAGACTGTTTGCCTGTCAGGTGGTAGTCAAGCTGTTGGAGTCGCTGTCACTGGCGTGCTTGAAGGTTCGAATCCTGTAAGCATTAAACAACTTTGATGGTGATTGAATTTAGAATATCGCGGTTCCTACACCAATGGGGTCTTGTGTAGTTCGCTACTTCAAGTTACCGGAGCTTAGATTGCCGGTTCTCTTAAGTGAACAGCGGGTCCTCGTGACCAGAGAGTTGATCCCTCCACTGCCCACCATACGGCGGTATCTGATAAACATTGCGGTCATGAGCCATTGAAAAGAAATTAGTTCAAATGAAATTCACAGTTTACCTAAAATAATACACAAACATTTTCGTATCCAAACACTGCTACAGGAATGGAGAAAAGCGGGACACTTCTTATTGCGGTATTTCCACCCAGTATAATCTTACTCTTCAAAAGGAGAATCAACAAATTGGTTATCATTTGAATGTTTCCCCAGATACCTCTCTTCTTACAGTGTGTTCCGACTATAGTGTTTACCCATTTTGCTGTAAATCACTTTGCGTATGTCAAACAATGCCAGAGATTCGAAAAAGTAACAGTTGATCAAACCTGGCTTTCCGTCAAACATAAAGATGAAAACGCAATTCTAAAGGGTTTTTAGACGGAGTCTTGGTATTGTTTTCACAAGGAGATTCGATTATTTCTAATTTTGTTGCCCTGTAAAGTGATCATTTCCAATCGGAAGTTGCAGGTTTTACATTTTTAAATATAACTGCTACCTCTGTACGAGAATCAATATTTGTTGCCTGTCTAAGATTCAAATCCATAATCTGCATTTGATTCCTTTCGCCCGTTTAGTGTTTTTTACATTGCCATATAATATGTATTATTAAGTTGGCAGGTGATTGTCGATTATCGTGTGTAAACTCAAGGCAGAGGTGCTATCCTACTTGTAGTGCTGTTGCACTTCAGCACCAGATGTGCCCCTCAATTTCACTGTCCGACTGTTCCGAATATCGGAATTTTGAATTCTCATCATTCATTAACACATGAGTGTGGCGATGTAGCTGAGTGTCGTAAAAGGTGATGCTGGTGCATCTACTCGTTATCTTTGCAACCCTGGTCTACCGGAATTCACCAATTTCTTTTGGACTCTGTTTTCAACTTCCCAGTGGTTTTTCTAACCCTTCATCTCAATGGGCAGTCAAGAGACGGCAACAAAAACCGGCGCGCGAAAGTGCATGGCTAATAATTGTAAAATCTGCACTGAATTCAGATTTAGCAGCCACAAATAAGACAAGATAAACACCCCAAAATAAACTTTGCTTATCATTAAATGAAAAGTGTATAGCCTTAAGGAAAATGAAAAAGGGTGACTAATCGTCGCAGATACCTTTTTAATTGTTTTATTGCACACAAAGTGAATTGCAATAAAAGTGGTAAACCTCATAATCAAACACTGTAAGAGAGGGAAATATGTGAGAGAACATTGTTAATCCTGCTTCGGAAAGGAGTGGGATTTGGAAATGTGGAGATGGAAAGAACGTTCCACAATTTCTAAGTCCTGAGAAGAAAGAATACTGCGAGATGGAAGTTCGACGTCTGAGGAGCGAAGCTCGATAAGGATAACTGCTCTCCTAAGAACGAGATAGACGATACCAAGACCAAGGGAGGAGAATCGCTGAAGTGAGTTCAGAAGAGCAGAAACGAAACTTGTAACGATAGAAAAGAAAACGAACCAACTGCCTGGCGCCGGGAGAGCGACCGCAGACTGGAATTCGAAGATGGTTCGTCGATCAGCTGGACGGCCTTACGTTAAACATGGTCGAGAAGAGAAGGTGCGGAACATGAAGCGCCTTCGTATACGTGACAGTAGGATTCGAGCACCAGGCAGATTTGAACGTGGTATAAAGGGGGAAGGTACTTAGGTGTGAAGAAGCGCCCGGCACGGAACAGAAAACCAATTGAGCGTCTCACTAGAGACGAGCATGAAATAAAGGGGACTAACAGAGCGGAGGATTTTTGTAGATAAACTCACGAGGGATAGAATATATAGAATGAAAGGGGGATGAGTCAACCATCAATTGGGGAAAGCAATGAACATGTTGAAGAGAGACGGAAAAGGAGAAGTTTTGAAAGCATTTAAATATACTTTTGGTAAAACCCTATGCAGAGATCGGAGGCAAGAGAAGCACTAATAACATTGTGATCGTGGTAGTGGCCTGGCGTGTCGTGGGTAAGTTAGAGAGCAATGGAGAGCGGCATTTTCGACAAAGCAGTGAATGGGATTAGGGGTTTCGAATAAAATACCATTACTAAATAGAACAAAGGGTGGGAGAAAGTGGGGAACACCGGTGTTCACAGCAAATGACCGAGATGAGACCCTGTCTACTCGAGATAGTTCGCTTGCTGAGGAAGCATTGAAGCCAAAATACGAGAGACGGTTAGAATCAGAACATGAGTAATTGCAAATGAGTTCCTTAGTTCTCTGTATAGTGAGCGAGAATTTGTTTCCGGCTTGCACAAAGCAGTTGCGGGATGTTGGTTTGTATAAGCGGCGCTAACGGCGAAATGCTGAATAAAGCACGGTTACATTCATGGTTCGATCAACCCGAGGATCGTAGTGTGTCAGATTCGGAAAAGTGTGAAACATAAAGGTATATACCTTAAAAAACAATCTCAGTGAAGTTTTAAACGAAAATAGACAATGGTCATTCTAGGAGTAACAAGCCAGAAAGTCACGACAACCATTCTACTTGGCTGAGTGGTACCGTCAGGAGGTACTTCTAGAGTTATACAATGAAACGGGGCAAGAGAATTCAGTGCAAAATGAAATGAGGCAATGGTTCCATAATCACAGAGAGTAGGGGGAAGTGGTGTTGAAGAAAGAAGAAGGAGTAGATGTGAAAATGCGGTCAAGGGCGTGGACGTAGTCATCAGTACGGTCTGGGTGGGCGTGGGGAGGTCAACTAGTTGACCAAGGTTGCTGGCCCCAGCAAAAGCTTCGTGTCACCTTGAAGAAGTGTCTAAGTAGTGTTTCAGCTGTTCCTTGTTGTGGGTATTAAAATTTCCGACAATCGTAATTTTTCTGTTAGGATCTGCCGCCATTCATCTCAGCGTCGGAAGAAAGAATATTAGGGATGGAAGAATTGTTGCTGTTCGAGGAGTGGTAAATGGTACAAGATTATTGGTTGAAAGAAGGTAACTAAAGTTTCAGCCATAAGGGCTGGAATTCACGGTTGAAGAAATCAAGGTTTAAAAATCAGGAAAAAGAGACGAAATGATGAATGTAGGCACAGTTACCAGCTTAAGGAGAAAAAGAATGCAGAAGGTAATTTGGAAACTGATGGTGAATAGTGTTTGACGAGGGAGAGCTTTGTTTCGGTCAATAATAAAGCCACAAGGAAGAAGATTGGAGAAAGGGGTGTACAAAATTGACACTTTGTTTCAAACCACCAACGGTAATGAGGGCACTGAGAAAGTGATTTGGTTCTCAGATAAAAAGCGCATTCGATGATTCACGTGAGTTGTATTGGTCATGTGTGGTGTGGGAGAAGACCGGTAACCCGAAATTTGGGGTGGTGAACCACATCAAGCCTCAATAGGTTGGGCGTCTTGGTGAGCCGGGCGACAGCAGTTCAGGGTGTTTATGAGAAGATTATGAACCGGAGATGAAGAAAACTTTCCGGTGAGATCAATCTTGCTCATTCCTCTTCCTACTACACATTGATTTTAGGCTGACGGAATAACAAGTGAGGTTAGAGTTGTCCACAGCTCTGCATCGTTGAAGGGGAAAACTGAAAAGCGATAGTGCGATTTCGGGTGCTGTTAGCTGGGGTAAGCTGACTGGAAGCTATAAGAAGTAAATATCATCAGGAGCAATATTAGGGCGGCATGAATCATCACTGTAATGACAAAAGTAACGAAGAACCAATGGATTTTCAGTCGGGAAACGCAGAGCAAGTCGTCAATGAGGCAACTGATGTTACGTTGGATCTGTTATATAATAGATAGAAAATAGAGGGACTGGATGGTTTTTCAGAGGAAAGCAAGAGCATTCTTAGTTTCTCACTGGCGACGAAAGATTGGACCACTAATTTAAATGAGGTGAACATTGGGCGATAATGTTGTTTGCAGATTACACGGATGGTTTGAATTCCGTTGTTCTGAGTGGTACATAACCCGCGACTAGTTTGGATCTTATAAAGGTATTGGGATACCATCCCTTAACCATATTGATGGTTATCGTTTTATGACGTCTCAGCATCTTGCGATCGCGTTGTAGTCACGGGCTCCATATCTGTATGGTATACTCTTTTTTGTTGAATGCACGCTGAAAACAATCGCGGAATAGAGTTGAGTCAAACCGACCAAAGGCACACTTAAGCGAACCAACATAGCGAGATCACAAGGTGCCGGACTTGTTTTTTCTTCAGTATTTTATAATCATGCCCATACAACACAATGTGAGACTAATTATTAACGGGTTTAGGAAATGACGAGAAAATAGCGCGAACATCCAAAGCCTTGTATCCTAATTATGATGCAAATAAACAAAATTACTTCACAACTGCGGACGAAGCGTTGACATACAGAAAGCGTTTGCACTTTCTAAGAATAGACCCTCCCGAGATTTCCATTTCTCACAATTTTGAATAGATGCTTTTGGATATCAAATTAGGTAATAAGCTCAGCTTTCGTCTAGGACTTCAGTAGATTTGTACCGCCATGCTCTCTATAACAATAACTGATGCAGGTTGCTTTTCCTCATTCAGTCAGACCCATTGACTATCCAGATTCCACGTATTTAATGTGCTTGGCAGTGAACGATAATATTCGCTTCACTATATTTCGCTGTACTATACTGACGATCTTATTGATCGGTCTTCATGAATGAATTACAGCATTACTGTTTGATTAAAACTTTGAAAGTGAATCAAAGCTCACGCCAAATTTCTGACCAGCTTGTTTTTTTTGTTTGTTGTTATAGGAAGAGGTTTCACGTGGACTTAAAGCAGCACTTAAGGCGATTGCAGTTTCTCCTCTTGGAGTGTACGTGGTTGCAAGTACCCTGGGATCTCTGGAGTCGCTTTTGGTTTATTTAAAATCTGTGGATATTCCGGTAAGCGAAAAAGGTTCGATGATCGTGTTTCTATCAATGGTCAAGATTTGTAAACCCCACTGCGCGATTTTCCTTTTGTAACAGCCCATCCAGATATCTATGCCACGTTCAAGTTACTTTCCTGATTCAGCACCCTATTAGCTTTCGGAATTCGGCTCGTTTAATATAATTAATGCGGTTGTGATCCAGTTCTTCATTTACATCGAACTTGGGGATGCAAGAGGCTCCATAAGAGGTTGGATATTTGGCAGAACATCTCTGTCAAACACAAACGTTTCTCAGAAGAAACGCCACTGCCGTACATAGAAACTCCCTGCCTCTTGGCAGTGGTGAACTCAAATCCAGCGCACTTCCATCAACCACCACCTGTGGGGATGCATTTAGACCACCGTTCTCGCCGATCAACACCCTTGGATATGATCGATACTGTGTTACAAGCCTCATTCTCCTTGTGCCTGGTAAACAACGGAAACAAAGCCAAAAGATAAAAGAAATCTACGAATAAATGTAAGCAATAACTTCAAATTGGCCGTCGCAGCGGAGCTCACTCACAGCGTCTGATGTCTCATCACCCATCCAAGGACTCGTTCAATACTGAAAGCTAATCCAAGATGCTATTCAAATGTAGCTGAAAACAACGGTGGATTCTGCAAACAAATTGAGTACAGACGATGGATTTCCTCGACCTCTACTGCTTTGCTGTTCGTTCACCTAGCCGTTCATCCCAATGTCAAGTATGACTATGGGAGCGGGGAACACGTCCAGACTGCCAAATGCGTATTACCACCCAATCGAGCGAGTTGTCATCCCGACCACGATGTCCTGCAGCCATTTAGCAAAGCTCTTCTCGAGAGGATAAAAATGAGGGTTTCCTAGTTCAGATGAATACTTGTAGCACAGTAACCCGGATAATGGCTTTTCGTTCTACCTTTCATTCAGTATGAAACTTCACTAACAAATGGTCTAAGAGAGAGAGAATTTAGGCTGAGGTGGAGGGGGGACGAGCTTGCGGCCTCGCCCACCCGGAGGGAGTTTGTGAATGTTTGATCGCTCATCAAGCTTATTTGTGAGATTTGCTTATCACTTTAATGCGAAAGGACGTATCCTAAGGTTTTAAGACACCTATGGGAACCTTTGATAATGTCTCTCAGAAAAAACATGATGCCATCGCAGCTCGTCTTTTATACATACACTAATGACTGAATGCATAAGTTGGGTACTCGTCGATTTACAAATAGATTTATTTATCACAGAGATTCTCCTATTATGATTTGTTTGATTCAATTCGACTATAGACACTTGTGATGCATAATCACTTGCTCATTCAGTCCAAACAAATAGTTAAGTAGCTATTAGTTTCAATACTCACTCATGTTTCGTCTTTCTTACCATATTTGTACCCAGTACTCGGGTATCAACATTGGCACAGTGCACAAAAAAGATGTGATGAAAGCTTCCGTCATGGTGGAACGCGAGCAAAAGTGGGCTGTGATTTTAGCGTTTGATGTCAGAGTGGACAGAGACGCTCAACGACTAGCCGCTGAACTGGGTGTGCGAATCTTCACGTCAGATATAATCTACCGCTTGCAGACTCAGATGGAGGAGTATGTGTAAGTTCTGCCGGGCCATGTTAACCTCGTGCTCTTGAAGTCACATTTCTATCGGGATGCATTTCCAATGTACTTGACTTATAGTATTTTTCAGGTCTATC